AAAAATGCAACTGAAATAATGGGAATAAATGAAATAAGAAAAGATAGATTGGGGGAAAAAGAAATGGAGAATAGGAAAAATAAGAAACAATAAAAGGGAAATAAAAAAACAAAACATAAACATTAAATAGAAAGGGGAAATCGATGGAATAAGAAATATGTACAAGAAAACCAGGAAAAGGAAATAAAATAGAAGAAAAAAAAAGAAAAATGAAAGGGAGAACAGAGATCCATGAAAATTGTTGTTTTTTAGGAACAATCTTCTAGACTTTATTGATCGATGACAAGAGTTACAAGGATAATATTGGGATCATGAGTTCGACCCGAGCACACATATCTACCCTGATCTAAATAAAAATTATGCTTGGAAGTATTGTGAGCCTTATAATTCGAGATCCTAGATTCATGAAAGAAATCAAAAAATAGCAAAAAGAAAAAAACTCCAACTGAATTTTTTTCTCGTGATAGACCCATACTGACCACTACCTCCTTCCTTGATGTTCTTAATAACGGTTAGGCAATCTGAAGCAATATAGAGGTGGTGGACACAAAAATCTTTATTAGCTAGTGAAATTTCTTCTTGACATGCCAGTGCCTCGACATTCCCAGGCTCGGGTATTTCCGGGTACAGAACAAAATAAGATCCCAATTACAAACCTGTTTTGTCCTGACAAATGATGATCCACTTCCATGGAAGTTGTTGGGACCCTTAACTGGAGGGATGATGTAGTTCATGAAGCAAGTATTTCAGTTGAGAACTAAGGTTTATCAAACAAACAGAACTATCACAACATAGTTAATAATCAGTACCTGCACACAATTAGCAAATTTCACTAGTCCCGAGCTTGGCCAGGAAGGTTGCCAGTTTTCCCGTCTTGCCTGTTACAAGGATTATGTGTATAGTGTGGATGGAATTGATGGTTGGAAGTGACTAATGAAACCGACTAGATTGTAAAAAATATTAAAAGCAAGCGGTCGAGGTCGAAAGAAATAAGAATGAATGGATTGGGATCCATAGTTTCACTAGAGGCTCTCTCCAGTAAACATAGAATAGGTATGGTCAACAAATTACATTTGTGTATCGATTAAATTTTAATTTTTATGTGTATGATTATTCATGGCATGATTTCATATAGGCATTACGTCCTTACGTCTATAGATCGTCATCCAACAGTATCTATAGTGACTACTCCACCCTAAGACCCCTATACAACATGCATCCCAAAGTATTAACTTAAAATAGTATTACATTAAGCAATAAGACATAATGTTGATAGTATATTGTCTTTACCTTCAGTACATCGTCGAGACAACCACGCAACTATAATCTACTATATGTAAATACTTAATAGGAGCCCCCGCTATCTGATTTGTTTGCGCTCTCAAGCATCCACGTCACCCATATTCTTTTCCTTGCATTGTCCGCTCTCTGCCTCGCAGCATCCCGCTTGATTTGCCGCGATTGCGCTGTACACGCTCCAACTAGCCGGTCCTAGCAGGTTATCATACGTGGGATGTACACTGGAATTTAGATGTTATATGGGTTGTACTCTCATTGTTGTTGGGAGCCCGTGGGAAAAGAATCAAGATCCAGAGGTTCCAAAATTTCATTTATTTATAAACCGGTCCGCGATATTTGAGACCAACTAGCCGGTCCGCGATCTTTGCTTTATTTATAAAGCGGGATGAAATCCTATTTCAAGAGGTTCCAAAATTTCATTTATTCCCACATATATATGGTTCTAAAATCCACATCTCTCCGTCTTTTGATGTGCATTCTTGCACAGAGTAATTTACCGACACGTTTGAGTAGATAGATGACAAAGAAATCTACGAGCCTGAGTCACGGGATGACGACGACATGAAAATATGCGTGGATGAAAAGGAGCAAGTAAATACCTGATGCTGATGGAGCATTGAAACTGTGTACACAAGCACTAGGTATCAGTATAGCGCGGCGTCGTCGTCGAAGCGATCCAGTCCAACTAGCAACCCGAACTGCTCCGTGACAAGGATCAGCCAACCGGCAGTTATCTTGGATCCACACGATAAGATATACGGCGAACAAGCTCTGAGGAAGAAAGCTGGGAGATGACAATCATGGACGCCTGCCTCTCCCATTTCCATGGCCGCGCGCCACGCACTACACCCTCTTCGTCGTCCGTGATGCACTGCATGTGCCAGAGCACATAATTATATACTCCCTCCGTTCCAACATGATTAAAGAACACGGTTTGTCCTAAAGTCAAACTAGCTTAAATTTAATCAACTTCATAGAAATCGTTTTGCAAGTTAAAACAACTTGCAAAATGACCTTATATTATAGGGTGGATGGAGTATTTTATCTATACCCCTATATAGTGTGTGAATAACTTTAAAAATGGTCGTTGGATGAAGCCAATCCGACGGTGCAAATATGGCAAATCTGAACACTATTGACCGTTGGATATCATCTACATTCCACCAGATTCTGCCATGGTTAAACTTAATCATAATGCACAAACCTCAAAACACAAGTACTTCTCCTTTATTCTAGAATCTTCCGTATCATAATTTCCCAAACTTTTTTTCTAGTTGAATTGCCATTATTAGCTTTTTTACTTTATGCTTTGCCACGCACAATTAGATGAATCATAAAATAGATTACTTTTTTATAAAAACTAATTGATTTTGAATGAGATGAACTATAAGAATTAAACGAACGTCTACATCATGCATATATGATTCAAAGTTTACATGCTATAGTGTGATATTTATTCGTAATTTGGTTAGCAAATCTCATGCGCGCAATACACGTGTACCTTACTAGTATAAAGAAGTTCATGAGGCTAATTTGGTGTGCTAGATGTCAAAATGCTTTTCTATAAACTCAGTCAAACCTAAACAAGTTTGACTTGAGACAAATCCAAAATTATAATTATTTTGGAACAGAGGTCATGCATAAAGCATGCATGCACGCCCTAATTATATGGATGCAAGCACAAACCAGCTTCATGTGCAAGCTGTGGTTGAGTCTAGTCATCGGATTGTGTGATGCTTCGAGTATGTTTTTAAACTAACTTACCATATTTTCCATGCCTGACGGGTTCCGCTTCTGCATTCCTACTAATTAAGTAATCCAATTACTCTCTCCATTGCCATTGTCGTTTGCCCTGATTCTAATAACCATGTTTACACCTACTTGAAAATTATCACCGTGTTCACACATACTCGAAATTTGATGTGGTGAGTGAGCGAGCAAAAGCGCGCGCGCGAGAGAGATTATTTATTTTGCAGCTCAAGTAGTGTATGATGGGAATAGTGGCAAGACCGGTCGTGGTCTGTTTTCTTAATTTCGGACTGTTCCAATGATGTTGGAGCAGTTATCTAGCTGGCCAGCTTGCTGTTTATCACCCAGCACTTGCAGTGATAGGTTAGCCTGCTCCTTATTTGTGCACCGTGCACATTCACATCAAGTCTTTAATGCATCGAATATGCTAAACATATAGAAGACTTCCACTGATTTCTCCGTGGCCATACACGTAACCTTGTAAGTAAATTCCGTAGCAAACCTGCCGTAAGTTTGTAGCTCAATGAATAAATGTGTGTAAGTCGTATGAATTCCAGCGTTGAAAAAATAAAATGGCTGAAATTTCCAGACAGCGACACCACCTTGGTAGCCAGTAAACTTGTTCTTTGAACTGGTAGCCAGTAAACATTTTGACAAAGGAATCACGAGGGAAATGGTCAACAACAAGATGATCACCGTCTATACATCGAAAAACGGGGCAAACATTTGCACCTATATTATCCATGCTCTGACAACCTCGTGTGGACAAATTTTTGCTTCTTGTGTATGGTTCTAAAATCTTGTGCCCCCAACAAGGGAATGTATAGTGGTTGACAAAGAAGCCATATCTTAATTTTTCAATAATTTGGTGATGGAAATAAAAATACACATATTCTCTCTTAGTGCTATCTAATAATTAACTATATAAACCTAAATATGTGATGAGAGATCTCACGCTAAGAGAAGACAGGTCATTTCAAATAATTATCTTATGTGGTACTTCTAAGATAGCACAATCGCACACACTGTAAATGCATCACGTTTGATTGGGTCTCCTCCCATGGCATATAACTAATTACGAGAGGGTGCATGAAAAACAGAATTTTAGGGACAAACTTGGAAAGAGTCGGTAGGAAAATAGGAAGACGCAGATTATTACAAAAAACAACCCGCAAAGTTATATGCAAACTAAAAAAAAGAGAAAGTATTTTGCACCCATGGTTTTCTTAAGCCGTCACATCCATAATTTATGGTGAGTATACACAAGTTACGTATGCTTCATGTCGACTTACAACTCAAAAATCGTCATAAGAAACACATGATACGAGTCATACCACACAAATTCGTTGTTATGCATATTCTGCGTGGTGTTTTCGTTTGCAGTTTTACGTCGGCAAACAAAAAAGTTATATATAGTATATACATTTCCTTACATTTATCTTGACTTACAACGAAGATAAAATTTATGTGATGTAAACTCTGGTGCTAAAATAAGGACGTGCAGAATAACTATTTTTCTTTTGGCGGGGAAGAATGACTACTGTTCACCTACGGCGAATAGCTTAGTATTTGAGTTCTGTCTTTTCATGCACTGTTTCACCGAGTAATCTATCTTCTTTTTTTTTAGAGAGAAGGCACAGAGTAATATATCGACACGTACGTCTGAGGGAGGGGATGGATGAGATGAGAAGCAAGCTGTCTGTGAGCGACGGATGGAGACGCGAGAGTATTTGTGTGGATGAAAACGGAGCAAGAACGTACCGGCATGGTGCCGATGGACATGGAAACCACGCACACAAGCACTAGCTAGTACTAGTAGAGTGCAGCATCACAGTCACAGCGGCCTAGTCCGTCCGGCAACATGAACTGCTCCTTGACAGGAACAAACCACCCACGATGGTGATATATATCGCTAACAAGGCTTAAGCTAAATGTGCAAAGCAAGCTAGGAAATGGCAGCGGTGGATGCCGAGGCTCCCTTTCTCGAGGGCAAGGAGGAGCCACTGGCCGGGGTCTCCGACTTCCGCGGCCGCCCCGTCTACCGCGCCACCTCCGGCGGGTGGCGCTCCGCCATCTTCGTCGCCGGTATGCACTGCATGTCCTAGAGCTAGCTCTTTACTCGATCCAGATATTTATATCCCAGATAGCTAACAAGGTCGCGGTGCACACCGCGTACGCAGTGGTGGAGGGCGCCGGCAGTTTCGTCTACTACGGCGTGTCGGCCAACTTGATCACGTACATGACAGGGCCGCTCGGCCACTCCAACGCGGAGGCTGCCGCGGCGGTGAACGTGTGGACGGGGACGGCCAGGCTCATGCCGCTGCTGGGCGCCTTCGTCGCCGACTCCTGGCTGGGCCGCTACTGGTCCATCATCCTCGCCTGCACCCTCTACGTCCTGGTAATGACTAAGGAAATTAATCTCCATGTCATCTTTTTTAGTTAGATAGACTGGTCCTGGTTGTTGCTTGAGGAATACCAATTACCCTGGTTGGACAACACATATTCTATTTTTTTTTCAAAAACAGTACAGACGCAGGCGCTCATATATACGTGCATAGACTCATCTCTATGAACATACACGTAGACTCTATCCCTATGAGCACTTTCGAGAGACTAGCCGGCATATCATCTCGAGATTGACGCCTTGTAGTCGACGTAAACGTCTCCTCCCATTGAACGTGCATCGCCGAAAATCTTAAAATAAATCCAGGATGAGCACCAGGATTTGAACTCTGGTGGAATGAGGATATCACTGTCCTCTTAAACATCCAATCACAGGAAGGTTCGCAACACATATTCTTTTTTCGGGCGTATGCACAACGCCTATTTTCATGCACATCACCACATAAAAAAATTCACACAAAGTCTCTACCCATATTCCAGAGAAAAAAAATTAAATACACTATGCTCCCTAATTTTTAAGGCTTCACAATTAATTAAGATTTCATCAAATTTTGACTGGGTGAATGACATTTTTTTCTCAAGAAAAGCTCTCCCGTTCTTTTTTTCCATTCAGTATACTCCATAATTTTGGAGCTTTTAATTTGATTGAAGTATACAATTTCAGATTTGGTTCACAATTTTGATCGAACCAACCATTTTTAAAAATCAATCGACAACAATCGGCCCATAATAAAATACCAGTCCCACACACACTCTCACCACCTAAAAAAAGGAATGCCAATATTTTGGACTGTAGCACCAGTAATTCTTTTAATTCACCTAAAAGTGAAATTTATTTAACTTTGACCATGTTCAGAGCTGAAAACGTTGACATCCACAATACTAAATAAATAAAATATGAAAATTCGTTTCACGACGAATCTAATGATACCAATTAGATATTATGAATATTGATATATTTGTCAACAAAGTTGGTCAAACTTAAAAAGATTTGACTTTTCAAAGACTAATACACCTTATATTTTGAAACCCATGTAGTAGAAAATTTATGGAATCCCAGCAACTTTGACGGCGTAGAAAAGCACGTCCCGCTCTTCTTTAAACCTAGGATCAGGTACATGCATGTCTGACAAGGACTACATCTAGTGGTCATCCATCAAACTGTTGGTTTTGTAAGACTTTTATTAATTTTGACGCAACAGACAACGACTCTACAGTAGAGTAGGCCACGGCCTTGTCACGTCAAACTCATTGCTTTAAAATCTAGTCCTTGAGCGCAATCAGTGGAACTGTAGGTTGATCTCATGGCTCGTACGTTTCACTGTGACATCGATGTTGACAATAGGCAAGTGTACAATATTTCTGCTGTGGATGATGTGTGTAACTTGAGCTAGTTGAGTAATTAACGACAGGTCGAACGTTACTCCAAAATGTGTATGAACTTTTCTTAAATGTCACTGGAATAACACCTTACTTACTCCTAAATTAAGTGATGATTGGCCCTTGAATAATATGGTCTAGAATGTTTGTACTGCTTGCATGCTCTCCGCTGTCCTTATATATCAATATATTTTTACATTTGGAAGAATGCATACCGTAATTCAAAATAGTTTTAAATTATTTGTGCTAGATTTTGGTATGTCAGTTGACTCTTGTACATGGGATATGTAGGACTACAACTAGATCAATCACAAACAATTCAAGCGTAAAAAATGACGCTTATTCGTCTCTACAGTCTTGAATGGAGGTAAAGACCCGCTCACTCAAGTGGTGAGTATACAAGGCTTGGATGCCAAGTACGAGTAGGCGCCAATGTTCATGTACCATTTGTCAGACGGTGGTGGATGTAATGCCATCGTATTGAACTAGATCATGAATGGCCATGAGGCAACTAGATGTGATGCCAGAGGTGGCGTGCACAACGCTTGGCTAACTGCCTTATGATGGGATGGTGCAAAGGGCGTCTTGCTGAGGTGCACCATGCACAATGTTGTGGCTGTGCGGGTGAGTTCCCTCGAACCTGCCCATGTTACTGACCATGACTGTCCGACACGATTGTTGGTGTCACCCTTGCTCTTCTTGTTCTTGTCATGCCATTGATCATAGAGGGTTGGCTAGAATTTTGTCGTGCGAAAAGGAAAATGGTTGGCACCGCGAGGAAAACCGTCGGACGGGTGCACTTGTGAAGAGCGTGCTGGTGGTGCTTTTTCTTCATCTCCTTGACATTCATGAGCGAGGGTTGCAAGCAAACATCAGGAATGGATCCATAAAACGTATGAGGATGGAGATGTTGTTGTCCAGCTGCTCGTTGAGGCCACGAAGATATTGAAGGAGGCCTCGTGTCGGTAGGGGTGCCAGCATTTGCGAGCATGCTTGTGAGGTTTTAAATAGTATATAGGACAATAATCGACAATGCTCAAGTAAGGAGGAGTACTAACCAGTTTATCTTGTTGTCCTGGAAGAGGCCGTCGATCGCCCACACTGGTCATGCTGCTAGAATTGAAAATTTAAAAAATGTTATCTCTCAAATGTACCGTTCCTCTTCATGTTTTGATTATACAGTCACAATTCAATACAATACAAATCAAGTACACCTATGATTAAAAGTTAATTCCATGTATAAGTACTATGTATTAATAATCACAATATTAGTAAAATATCCCACATTTCTAGATATATTAATTCCATGTTCTCCTCTTTATTAATAACACTTGAATTATTTCCCCAAATTTGCAATTGGGGATTTTGCTACAGAATATATAGGTGTAGTTTTAGATTATTTGTGCTAGCTTTTAATATGATTGGTGACACGTTCATTGCACATTAGGGAGTGCTACTAGACCATATTTTCTACAAACACTGACAAGAAATAACTACTCATATACATGCAGGGTTATGGCATGATCACTCTAGCATCCACACTCCTGACTCAGCGACCATCATCGACCCTCGACAACGACCCCTCTTCTAACCCTTTGTCGCCGCAGGTGGCCTTCTTCTATGTCTCCCTCTATCTCATTGCCCTCGCGCAGGGTGCTGACAAGCCTTGTGGACTTGCCTTTGCTGCCGATCAATTCGACGCTGAGCACCCTAGGGAGTGTGCCGCCCGCAGCTCCTTCTTCAATTGGTGGCACTTCTCCATATCCATTGGTATCGCTGTCGCCATCATTGCCGTCAGCTACATCCAGGAGAATCTTGGTTGGGGAATTTGTTTTGGCATGCTCTGCACCGTCATGATTTGCGCCTTCATCGTCTTCCTCCTTGGTATTCCCACCTATCGCCTCCACGTATCCATCATTGGATCCGGCAGCCCCTTTATCCGTCTCGGCTGTAATCTCATCACGCTTGCAAGAAACTCAGGCTTCTCCTCCCATGCTAAAACTCACATGCATGAAGATGAAGACGCTACAACCAACTTGGAGGAGGCGCGCGGCGTGTTACGGCTACTGCCGATCTGGGTTGCATGTCTAGCATATGGTGTGGTATTCGTGCAGATCACGACACTTTTTAACAAGCAGGGCCACACCCTAGATTGCCATATCTTTGGTAGCCTAGTGCTACCACCAGCCATGTTGCAGACGTTTTGGCCAGCATCTGTCTTGTTGTTCGTTCCCTTCTATGATCGAGTTCTAGTGCCGACGCTACGTTGTCTGACGGGTATTCCAACTGGGCTGACACAACTTCAACGACTAGGCACAGGCATGGCTATGTCGCTTGCCGCCATGTGTGTGGCGGCATTGGTGGAGACCCAGAGGCTAGAGATGGCACGTGTGCACAACCTAGTTGAAGATACCGATGCGACGGTCCCGATGAGCTGGTCATGGCTGGTGCCACAGTACGTGATGGTCGGGGTGGCGGACGTGTTCGTGATAGTTGGGATGCAGGAGTTCTTTTATGACCAGATGCCCAGCGAGCTTCGTAGCCTTGGCATAGCGCTCTACTGCAGTGTGATTGGCATCGGTGGCTTCATCAGCGGCACTCTCATCTCACTCATTGACCGCATCACACGCGAAGGCGGTGGCGATAGCTGGTTCTCTGACAACCTCAACCGCGCCCACCTCGACTACTTCTACTGGCTGCTTGCCGGCCTCAGTGCGGTAGAGCTCGCGCTCTACATCTTCTTCGCTAGAGCCTACACCTACAAGGACAAGAGAGACTTTTGAGAGTGATAACCTAGAACTAGAAGTAGATAATCTGCAAACAGTTTGCCACTCTATTTGTATTTGGTCACTTATGTGGTACTTGAAGACAATGCATCTTTAGTTGTTTAACAAACCTGTTTCATTTTGTTGTTTCTGGCACTTGGCCTTGTAACAACTTGAGAATGTATGCCAGGAAATACGCCCTAGTGGCAATAATATTATATTATTATACTTCCATGTTCATAACTAAGAGTTATATGTCATGCTATAACTGCTATGATCCTGGAATATGTGATTCGCTGGAAAACTCATATTCACGTGTGAAATGATAAACGGATAAAATAAAGGTTCCTAGTCTCACCTCTAAGACTAGCTCAAGTGTTGTTGGTGGTCACATTGTCTGGATCTTAGGATATCATTAAGTGTAACAATAGTCCTAGAACAACATTGAGATTATGACGTTGGAAGAACAATCATATTGAATCGACCCAAACTTGTTTGTTATGAATTGAGATAATATCGTCTGTAATCGGTAGTAATAACACGGAGTGTTAACATGTGATTTTCCTCCTTAGACCATCAGAGCATCATAGTCACTTCTTACCGTATGGTGGACTTTGGGGTTTCTCAAACGTCACCTGTAACACAGTGATTATAACGACAACTTACAGGTTCATCAGAAAGTTTGACAAGGGACTAGATAGCTCGAGGGTGGGATTGATCCTCCGGCGATTGAGAGATGTTCTTAGGGTCGTCTCGGTGTGACAACATCCATCATCGTCTGGCCAGACACAGGTGACTACGTCACGGAGATGCCACAACACAATAACGAGGAAGAATAACAAAACCGGTAACAAGGATTTCGGTATAATGAGCATGTGTTAACTCAAGAGGGTACCGATGCATCCCGGGTTTTGTAAAGTATCGTGAAGCAAAGGGAACATCACATGATAACCAAAGGTTCACACGAATATCATTTATGTGCTCATATGGATCGATATGGACATCCACAGTCCCGCTATCGGTCATTGAACAAAGGTGTTTTGTTCATGTCTATGAGTTACTGAACCTACAGGGTCACAAGCTTAAGGCAATCACAATCTTCTGAGTGTTACTAGGACAAGAGTGATGAAAATATATTTTTGTAATTGTTTCATTAATATTCAGAGTAGTTCCAAGAGGATCTGGAAGCGTTTCGGGGTCACCGGAAGGATTTCGGTAAATATCACGTGATACCGGGTATTACCGATAAATATATATAGGTGGAAAATATTTCCAGGGATGTTAAATTATATATAGCTGGTCTAAAATTATTTAGAACTATTTATATTTAATTTAATTTCAACAGGCTTTTAAAACGTCAAGAGGTGGAAGGCAACTTGGGCCACAAAGGCCCAAGTGCGTGAGGCGCCCCCTTCCCTAAGGAAGGAGGCCGAATTGGAGAGGGGGAGGATTCCTCCTCCCCTCCGTAGGCCGGTGCACCAAGGGGAGTCCCCCCTTGGTGGCAGACCTCTCTCTCGGCCTCTCCCCTCTAACCTATATATACTTGAGGTTTAGTGCTCTTTTCAACACACAAGTTCTGGAGCCTCCTCTAGTTCTTTTAGTTCTAGTTCTAGTTGGTCCTAGTTGACTAATTAGTGATAGGCTAATCCTCTAGTCCTCATAATTAGAAGTCCTGTGTGGTTCTAATCTTGTCTCTCTAATTCTCAAGCGACGATTAGCTCTGGACGGCGAAGCGCTGCCGGATCGTGAAGGTTGCACGCTTGCAACAAAGTAGAGAGGCCATGCTTTCGGTCTTCGATTCGAGGGACTGTTCGTGGGTGGTTCGTGGGATCGTTCATCGACAGTTCAAGGGACTCCATGTATGATCTATACCGACACGTTCTTCTTCCACTGCAACTCGGTGACGATAAAGATCGTGACCCCAACTCATTATGCATCTTCATGTTGATCTTGGTTGTGCGTAGACGCCATTTTTTTGTTTTCTACTATGTTCCCCTATAGAAGCAACCAATTTGAAAACAACATAAGTAACCCTACAATACCCTCTACATGTTCATGAATCATAATTTTAATGCATTTGAAGCTAAGATGAACATATAAATAAGTTGTAATTAGACTACACACCTGGGTGTTATTATGTCTATCATTCTATATTCTAACGAGACTTTTTTGTTGCTGAACGGTAGCGCAATATGAGTCCAAGGCCGAAATCCTACCCAACTATATAACTGCTTGGGCTAAATTGAGACCAATGCAACATCGGTAGAAAACTTTTTCGTACCCAGAGCCTCGCCCCATGAGCGCGTAGATTATTCTTATCAAGTGTGTGTTCTATGGTATGGCGTGTCGAGTCCTCTATACGTATAGTACGTAGCGTCGACCCAGCACGGAGATAAGCAAGGTCACTTCTCTCTGTTAGCTAGCTAACACAATATATGAAATCCC